ATTATTATTATTATTATTATTATTATTATTATTATTATTATTATTATTATTTTCTTTTTGTTTTATATAACTTATGTTATATGTGACTGAAAAATTGGAATTTCCGAATTCACAAATTCTAAAAAAAATTCCAGGTTTGGAACAAGTTTTTTAATTTGAATTTCCAAAACTATAATATTTTTGGAACATAACGAGAATTAATTTTTAACTTTTGAAAAATATTGGATTTTTTTTAAACGTTGACAAAATAGTTTCTTTTTCGCTCTAAAAAAAGGAAAATTAAAAAGTTATCTTTGAGTTAATTTAAAGTTAGGATTATACTTTAATCAAAAAAAAAAAGTTAGGATTATACTTTGAAATGATTTTTGGTTTTCAATTTTCATAACTTTACCGTCAATGTTAAAATGTGCACAAATATGTATACTTCAATTTTTTATTAACTACAATTATTATCATGTTACAATTTATTAACTCCAATGATTAACCAAATGGTTATCTTTTTGTATGTTTTTATTTTACGTCTTCTAAAAATGATTGCTGCCAAATTTAATGATCCGGAAATCTTTTCCAGTAAGATTACAAATTGTCGTGTCACATATGGTTGGAATTCATATAAAAATAAGGGCAAATTACGGTCTTTTTTTTAGGTAAGATCAAACTATGAAAAAACCTTTCATATTTAAATAACTAGCATTTGTTCTCTGTGCGATGCACGGGATATTATTTCAAAAGTGAAAAAAATAATCAATTTAATATATAATAAGAAAATATCGTACAGTAACATAGTAAAATTTAATAATGTAGTATAATTTATATTTTATATAACATTGATTTTTTAAAATCTTACATATTAAGATTTCTAATCCAAATATATAGATTAAGATTTAAAAAATCGTATTTATATCTTTTATCTCTTAAGATTTGAGATATATTGATGAAAAATCGGAGATTGATAATTGTTAAAAATTATAGTAAGAAATTAGTATAGAAAAAATATTAAAAATAAATAATTACAGAAATACCATTAGGGTTTTCTAGGATTACCCAGCGTTTCTTTCTTTTATATATAAGATTACAATAACCCCTCAACTATGTATTGTCTTATTTACGGTGACAATTTTACCTATTGAAGGAAGGAGATTTCGTAAGACAATACCATAGTTGGGAGGTGTAGTTATAAGTATACAAACAAGATAATTTTTTTAATAATTTCATCTTACCTCAAGCAGGTGACCGTAATTTTTCTTAAAAATAAAAAAAAACATTCGATCCATAATCTCTCACTATTATTTTAACTTCTTCCCACTCGTTTTAGAAGTGATGAATGATATTTAAGATGGAAAAGTAGTCCGAATCAAAATAAGCTAGATGTTAGAGAAGATATATACTAGATTCTTTTGAATGAACAATTACTTTGAAAATAATAGCTGAATATTCATAAGAAAGAAAGTCGACCTAGTGCAATTTCAGAAATGGGGTTGGCCTTCCGATCATGACGTAACACAACACCGGACAATCGACGAGATTCTTTGGCAAGGGAATAAAGAGTATTTAGGGATTTTTTTACAAAGAGGTAATGACTGATCTTGCCACCCCGTCTGCGTTGTTGGGAGTTCTAGAAATTTGGTACGGGGGCGAGCTAACATGTAAACGTGATAGGGACTGTAATTTTTGAATACCATAGTAAAAATTGTTTTAAAAACCAAAGTAAAATATGGATAAATGGGGAAATTTAGCCCAAAGCAAAATTGTTCTAAAAACCAAGTACTTTAAATTTGGATGTATGTAAGAGGTCGTAGTGTGCTGCATAATAGGGGTCCTCGAAACCCAATCCACCCAGTTCTCCGGGTGAAGCCTACGAAGCTTAGTGCAGTCTCAACACCCATCATAAATGAACGAAAAAGAGGACCATCATCTATTAGTGGTCATGCCAAAAACTCAAATCACCCTAGCCGATCCGCCATAAAATTTGGTCCAAGGCGGGTAGTGCAAATCTGACCGATAAGCTTCCAAATCGAACTCTGGGGGATAGGGGGAAGACAAGGGAACCAAATGCGGTACTTCTTTTTAATTTTAAAGTAAGCTTAAGCTATAATTTGCTAAGCAACTCTGTTTTTTCTATTTAAGTTTATTTTTTAGTAACTTTTTAATCACCTTCAGCTTTTAGAAATAAGCACTTCAAACCAATTTAATTCACAATTCGTAACTTCTGTTTTTAAATATTTTTTTGTAGGTGACCGTAACTATAATAAAACAATAATTAAGTTAAAACTATTACTTTTATTATTTTTTCATTTTTTATTTAACTCTTTATGAATAATATATTTTTTTTTATTTTAGACCTCAATTCAAAATTCAATAATTTCATCGTAAATATGAAATTTCATCAAAAGTTGAAAATTTCGAAACTTGCTATATTTTTTTTTATTTTTGAACACTAACTAGGAATTCTAAAATTCCATAAAAATTGTAAAATTTTGAATATTGTACAGTTTTAAAATCTCAAAATGATATTATATATATATATATATATATATATATATATATATATATATATATATATATATATATATATATATATATATATATATATATATATATATATATATATATATATATATATAACTAAAAAACAAAATGAAAGATAATAGTAATTATATTATAAAATCAATTAGTTTTTCTTAAATAATAACTTACATCAAACATTTATCAATAATATTATGCTAATTATATTTTACAAGATAACTATTGTTATTGAAATTTCTAATTATTTTCATACTTTTTAATTTGCAAGAAAGTTAAATTATTAAATTTTCTATTATTTTTAAATATGAAAATCAATTAAATAAAGAAAATAAAGTTGAAAACAGATGGACACGTGGCGACATTTTAAAACGCGTCATTTGAAATGACGTTTTTTTAAGCAATGTAGATTTACGGGACACGTGATGTCTTCTTAAAAGGCGTAATTGTACTGACGTATTATTCTATTTCTGAATACTCCAAGAAAGTGTCATATTTCTAAAAGAAGTTGGCCAACATGGCCTTGAAAAAAAATTGCCCATGATTTATTCCGCAGTTGGACTGATGGGACTATATTGGCCACATACAATAATATTAGACTTTATTATAATATATGGAGTAGGAGGATCATGGTTTGGTCCTTTGGTGGGTTAAAATAATCATACATTGTATTTTGAGAAAGCAACCTTAAAACGGACCTTACTCGATCAAAATATAATAAACCAATGGATAATGTATAGAATGAAACACTATTCCTCAAACAATGTTCTATTTCTTGAAGAGCAAGTAAAAATATATAATATGCTGGTTTCTATCCAAAAAGTGGAGAGAGTTTAACCTAAAAGATGATCTTGTATAAATACTACTACAAGTATGGGCCTCATTTGGGCCATGCCTTACATTTTGCAGGCCCAAGCCGCCAACTATTATCTACTTTGCCACGTGGTCAGTTACTATTGGTTCTTTTTATAGTTTATCTGCTAGTGCAAGTCTGCCACACGTCCCTTTCTCCTCTGAGCTGTGCCCGTACGGTCTCTGCAGTGCCGAGGAAGTACATTGCCCACGAGGTACAACGATACCTCGCTCGGTTACCTCGCATGACCCAATCTTCTCTTGGTTGCAGCTTTCTTCGCTTGCCTTGGTCTATTATGTTATTGGACTTTCCTATCTTGGGCTCGTGGGCTTTCTCACTTTAAGTCTTGGGCTTTTACTTCAACTGGGCTTATTATTCATTTAACCTTTGGGGCAAAACAGTCCGAATCATGGTGAGAGTATATATGTGTTTTATAAATGTGAATTAATTTTCATAAAAAAAAAAAAAAAGAAAAAAAAAGAGTAAATGAGAATTGATTATAGATAAGATAGTAAGAAGCTAAGTGTGGCAGTTGATAGATATTGTAATTAATTCATGTGCTATCCATCAGCCAACGTAACGGTCATATTTTTTGAAATCCCCTGTAAATTGTATTCCCCCAACACCAACCCATACTTGACTGAACTCCACTTTTCCTTTCTCAATCAAATCAGAGTGTTCCATTTTTTTCTCTGAAACTCATAACAAAATTTCCAAAAGTACTTCTTGGGATTAGAGAAGAAAACTTTTAATTTGGTGAAGAAGAAGAAGAAGATGGGATGCTTTCCAGCCTGTTTTCGCCATTGGAATCATCATCATCATCATCATCATCATAATTCACAAACCTTGAAAAAATTTCAAGATCAGGTCAAAGTCAAGCCCTAGTTTTCAATTCAATCCCACCCCACCAAATCTATTTTTTTTTTCTTATGCTAACAATTTAATTTCTATATTATTTTAGGCTGTGTCTCCCAGCCATGATGAAACTGCCACTCTCTTAGCTCCGACCACCGAATCGCCGAAACAAGAAGAAGCGATCGATAGTCCCGTAAAACTCGTTTCAGAATCCGAGTAAGCTTACATTTTCTTGCTTACATTTAATGTTAGGGTAAATTATGAAACACCCCTGAACTTAGGCTTAATAACGAAAAACACCCCCTCCTATTCGTAATTACCAAAAAACCTTTAAAGTTTGTTTCCGTCTTCCACCAACCCATTACAGTGTGACTTCTCATGCATTTTTTTTTTCAATTCGAGGGAATATAATTTACACTATTTCGGATATTTTCATTTATTTCTCACCTATTTAACAGTCTTACACATTTTCTATTAAAAAACTCGATCAACAGTTAATTAGAAGGGGACTTTGGGTATTACGGATAAGTAGGGGTATTTTTCGTTATTTAGCTGAAGTTCAGGGGTTTTTCATAATTTACCCTAAAAATGTTATTGCTTTACAAATCTGCCCTGTTTTTCTCATTTCAACACAGCTCTTACATGTATAATTAACTTTGCCCACATACATTTATCAGAACCAAGAGTAGTGAAGAGCAGACGAATGTTATTGGAAGAAAGGAAGCCGTTTTCGATCAATCAAACATCGAGATATGTACTAATGAACTAATTACGAGCAGCAAAACCGACAAGTTGGCGGAGATCGAAAACGAGCAAGTAATTGAGAACAAGATCGACGAGAAAGATTTGATCCTTCAGGACAAAGAATGTGTATTAGCTGCTATAAACTCGAACGCTAATTCCAATGAAGAGGAGGAATATTCCTCTGAGTCGTCGTTGTTTTCGTTATCCATAGATTCAAGAAGACGAATTTATGCCGTGGAAATCGGAGAAAAAGAGGTCACCAGTTCACTAAAGCCCACGGAAATCTCACCCAAGAAAATCGATCATCACCCGTTATCTTTCAAGAACGACGATGATGACTACGACAAGGAGAATGCCGAAGAAGAGCCGTTGATAATATTAAAGCAATCGTCATTTGACGAGTCGTCGAAACGGCGTGTAATAAGAAGGGAGAGTGAAACTGCAGTTAGCCTTTCGAGCTGGTTGGTTGGATCTGAAAAGTCGTCGTCGTCGACACCATATAAAACATGTGATGGAAATTCCAACTCACCCGAGAGTGAGAAGAACTACATTGGAGATAGACGAATTTTAGGAGAAATCAAACATTTGAATGAGGTTTCAGTTTCATGTGGTGGTGGTGGTGGATTGGCGGCAGCGGGCGGCAAAGCTGATAATCAGATGGAAATCGGCACGGTGGGGAGATACTGGCGGCAGACGAGCATGGTGAACGGGCAGAGAAATGTTTCGACTCGAGTCTGAAAACGGAAAAAGTTTGTTCAGTCTTTTTGTTTATTTGTTTGCTTGTTTGTTTCACAAGCATTACATGTTGATGAGTTTAGTGAAGTGTGTTCATCCTTAAATATATATATTTTTTATTGAAATTCTTGACTCTCACCATCACCGACCATCCTCCGTCACCTCCGCCTCCCTCCGCCACCACCACCTTCGCCGCTACTCCCTCCCTGTGGGTATTAGTCGTCACCACACTCTTCTCCCTCCTTCTCGTCATCTCCCTCACCGGCCACCATCCCCTGGCAACCCCGCCCCTCCCCTTTCACCCACCACAATCGCCGCCTCCTGTTCGACGACAACCAAAACAAGTAAACCACCCCGCGTTCATCTCGCCCCCATTTCTTAGCCTACCTCATTTTCAGGGCTGCCCAGAATATCCACGTCATTGGCAAGACACTAATTATTTTTGCTCTGTTTGTGTGTTTTTTGGCTAAAATACTTTGTTTGTATATGTAATGTTAATTTATTTTTATTGAGCTTGTTCATTCTGCTACATTGAGGAAGTTGATTCACCTATTGTTTGTTTTGTATGTATCGATATTCGATAGTACGTTTTAGAGCATTGATTTGTATCAAAATTACATTGGTTATCTATAATTGATTTACATGATTATGCTTCTATGAATATGATTGGGATAAATATATATTTGATGTTAATTACCAACTTTTCTGTCAAAATAGTATTGGGTTTTTTTTTTTTTTTTTTTTTTTTTTTTTTTTTTTTTTTTTATGTAATTCGTGGACGTGGATGCATTTGTGTTGCAATGTTTCGTTTCAAATTGTGTTAGAGTAATGATTTTTAGTGTGTAGATGGACATCAATTTTTTTGAATATGGCGATAAATTGGAAATATTGCCGGCGACCACGACATAACGAATCCCCTACGCCTGCTCCAAGTCATTGCTCTCACCGTTGTAGATGTTTACAACACAACGCTTATATCTCAGATCTGAGGCGCACTTTCTTCAAAATTTTCTTTGCTAGAATTTTTAAAACTATGTCACAATATGTTATGATGTTATTATCTCTCTCAAATTTGATTGTATTCTTTGACTTTGAATTTTCCAATTTGTATGTTGTAGTACTGCGAATGTGCTTGCCGGAGTCTTCTTTATTCTCTTATTTTTGCACCATCATCTGCTCATGCTTTCTTGTCCCTTTCGGTTAATTTTTTAAGCATGCCGATGGAATTTTCTTGTTGCGAACTGCTGTGCGGCAATTTTAGCTCCTTGTTTTTGTCAACTTTATGTTTTATGAAAATGAAAATTCTTTCGGTATGTGTTCGTGAGGCATTTGTTTGTTGTTTGTTTGTTTGTTTATTTTCTCCTATTTTAGTGATTACCTTCCAATTGTTAGCTCTTTAGGAGTTCGCAGGTATTTTGTTTGTTCGCTTGCTCGTGCTTGCTTCTGTCTGCTTATTTGTGCGTACGTTGTCAGTTGTCACATTTCTTTGGTATGCCTCGTGTAACTTGTGTCCTATTAATTTGGTTTGTTTATTTACTAATGGAAACTTTTGGACACTTCAAAATTTTTTTTTTTGGTTGTTCATTGTAGAAAGTTATCTTTCTGCCGACTTTGAATAACAAATTTTGCCGGTTACTTTACCGGTTTCGATGTTGCATTCCGTACTATATAACAATAATCGACATAAATTTATGATACGAATAAAAGAATCAAGTATAGCTCCATCAAATAGTCCGCAAGAAATTGAAATTTATTCCTTATGAAAAAATTAACTGGGCACCGGCACCGCGCCTTGCACGGTGCTCAGAGACTAGTATATATATATATACATACCTATATATTCATTATACAAATTGGCAAATTCACAAACAAAGAATACATTCAAATCTTAGAGAAATAATAATAATATTATGACATTTTTCTAAAAATTCTTGGTGAGAAAAACTTGATGAAAATGTTCATCTTCAAAGCAGAGTGGATTCTTGAAAGCGAAAAATAATAATACCAATAAACGCAACTTACGTTTAACCTCTGCTGGATGATCCTATCTGGAACAATTATCCGATAGGATTCACTGATGATTTCCAATAAACGCAACTTACGTTTAAAAAGATAGAAAATTCTAATGATCTCAAGTGCAAATCAAAATAACTAAGGTAGTAAATCCTGTCTGAACATAGGACGACAAAATACGGTTTTGTGCAGAAATCGAAGAAGCAATATAATCATGGAACGGTGCAGCTCCGTAGTAACACTACTCACAAATTAAACACTGCAATTCAAAATTAGCTGTTATTAAAATCATGAAAACATAAAATTATTGCTGGCAATGAAAAGTAAAATAGAGATGCAAGGCAAAATATATCCAAAATAAATGTACATTTTGCACATAATATCACAATAGCAAAAATGGTTTCATCATATTATTAAATTGAGATTTTCGAAAGACAAATTGAATTTAACCAACCAGAAAACTCCAAAATTCTAGAAATTAAAAATTACCACTCATCGGATTGTAAGATATAATAAATAAATAAATAAATAAATAACTAAGTGATATGCCTACTTGGGCCAACCCAATGGGCCTACAATTTCTTTACCTACTGGGCTACGAGCCCAATATCGAAGACTAACATCACCGAGGCCCAAACACCTTCAAGTAAGGTTTGGGCCCAACAAAGCAAACCCAACCCAATAAACGACATATAAATACACATTTGACCTCATTCCATAAGGTACGTCCTATTATCTGAGCAATACTATTAATGGTATTCTCTGGACTATTTCTATGATCAGCACGTCTGACTTGAGCGTCGGAGGGGTTTCCGCCGGATCAACCCCCGGCTTAGCTTATGTGTTCTATGATCGCAGGTACCTCAGGATCATCAAGTTGTCAAGCTACTGATCTGCTTTGCTCTCCCAGTTCGTTTTCTACACCACCCTAGGTGAGCTAGTAATTAGCATCATCATTTTGGCGCCGTCTGTGGGAAAGATGCAAACCAGATCACGTAGCCAACAAGATCCTCCTGAGGCGTCTGCTCGGAGAGAAAATGACACAGCTAACGACCTCCCACCTCGTGGAGGCTCTGGCTTGCCACCTCCTCCTCATCCCATGGATCCGCCTCGCGAGGTTCAGGTGATCCCCCTCGGGACCCACCACTCGCCGATCCATCACTCCCTGCTCCTCGAATGGTTCAAATAACCGAGGATGCGCTTCAACATATGATCGTCGAACCTTCAACAAGATCAACTTCTACTTGCTCCTCTAACGGTTCAGATAACCGAGGAGGCCCTTCAACTTATGATTACGGAAGCATCTTCCCGCGTTGCTACTGAAGCAGTAGCACAACGCATCGCCACAACGGAATCTCCTTCTAGACCATCCTGTGATGATCCTCGAGACATATCTCAGGACGTCACCTGACGTCGTGACCGAGATCCCCTTCTAGACCCCCTCGTGATGACCCTCGAGGCTATCTTCGAGATGACACTTGAGGTCGCGCTCGAGATCCACTTCGAAACCTTCAGCAAGATCCTCATCAACCAGCTCCACCTCACATGGTTCAGATAACCAAAGAGGATATTCGACATATGATCGACTAGGCCATTCAGATGTCCTACTTCAGCTACATCTGATGTCATACCTCCGGTACATCAGATGTCAACTACATCTGATGTCATACTTCGAGTACATCAGATGTCCTACTTCAGCTACATCTGCTGTCATACCTCTGGTACATCAGATGTCCTACTTCAGCTACATCTGCTGTCATACCTCAGGTACATCAGATGTCAACTACATCTGATGTCATACTTCGAGTACATCAGATGTCCTACTTCAACTACATCTGATGTCATACCTCAGGTACATCAGATGTCATACTTCAGCTACATCTGATGTCATACCTAAGGTACATCAGATGTCCTACTTCAGTTACATCTGCTGTCATACCTCAGGTACATCAGATGTCAACTACATCTGATGTCATACTTCGAGTACATCAGATGTCCTACTTCAACTACATCTGATGTCATACCTCAGGTACATCAGATGTCATACTTCAGCTACATCTGATGTCATACCTCAGGTACATCAGATGTCAACTACATCTGATGTCATACTTCGAGTACATCAGATGTCCTACTTCAGCTACATCTGAAGTCATACCTAAGGTACATCAGATGTCCTACTTCAGTTACATCTGCTGTCATACCTTAGGTACATCAGATGTCAACTACATCTGATGTCATACTTCGAGTACATCAGATGTCCTACTTCAACTACATCTGATGTCATACCTCAGGTACATCAGATGTCATACTTCAGCTACATCTGATGTCATACCTCAGGTACATCAGATGTCAACTACATCTGATGTCATACTTCGAGTACATCAGATGTCCTACTTCAACTACATCTGATGTCATACATCAGGTACTTCTGATGTCATACTTCAGCTACATCTGATGCCATACCTAAGGTACATCAGATGTCCTACTTCAGTTATATCTGCTGTCATACCTCAGGTACATCAGATGTCAACTACATCTGATGTCATACTTCGAGTACATCAGATGTCCTACTTCAACTACATCTGATGTCATACCTCAGGTACATCAGATGTCATACTTCAGCTACATCTGATGTCATACCTCAGGTACATCAGATGTCATACTTCAGCTACATCTGATGTCATACCTCAGGTACATCAGATGTCAACTACATCTGATGTCATACTTCGAGTACATCAGATGTCCTACTTCAACTACATCTGATGTCATACCTCAGGTACATCAGATGTCATACTTCAGCTACATCTGATGTCATACCTAAGCTACATCAGATGTCCTACTTCAGTTACATCTGATGTCATACCTCAGGTACATCAGATGTCATACTTCAGCTACATCTGATGTCATACCTAAGGTACATCAGATGTCCTACTTCAGTTACATCTGCTGTCATACCTCAGGTACATCAGATGTCAACTACATCTGATGTCATACTTCGAGTACATCAGATGTCCTACTTCAACTAAATCTGATGTCATACCTCAGGTACATCAGATGTCATACTTCAGCTACATCTGATGTCATACCTCAGGTACATCAGATGTCAACTACATCTGATGTCATACTTCGAGTACATCAGATGTCCTACTTCAGCTACATCTGATGTCATACCTAAGGTACATCAGATGTCCTACTTCAGTTACATCTGCTGTCATACCTTAGGTACATCAGATGTCAACTACATCTGATGTCATACTTCGAGTACATCAGATGTCCTACTTCAACTACATCTGATGTCATACCTCAGGTACATCAGATGTCATACTTCAGCTACATCTGATGTCATACCTCAGGTACATCAGATGTCAACTACATCTGATGTCATACTTCGAGTACATCAGATGTCCTACTTCAACTACATCTGATGTCATACATCAGGTACTTCTGATGTCATACTTCAGCTACATCTGATGCCATACCTAAGGTACATCAGATGTCCTACTTCAGTTATATCTGCTGTCATACCTCAGGTACATCAGATGTCAACTACATCTGATGTCATACTTCGAGTACATCAGATGTCCTACTTCAACTACATCTGATGTCATACCTCAGGTACATCAGATGTCAT